TCAGCGTCAACAGGTGCTCACGTATATTGACTTCAAAGCTCAGATTGCGCAGTCACATTTTTTCGCGTTTTCTAATTTTACCATCGACGGTTGTCTAACAACAAAGGAACATAGTTTCAATGACCTTCCGCCATATACCCGGAACGGTGAGTAAGTGCAGACCGGGGAACAACAACAATGCAACAACCAATGGTGACATTGAAACAAAACGAACAAAACGTCGGCCAATTTTGGTGGGACTGGCCAAGGTTAGTCATATCGCACCTTGGCCTCCCTTGCGGTGAAACATCCTTTTTCCAGGTTTACTTCTTGCACTTGGCTTGCCTCCTACTCCTACTTACTTGTGACTAACAACCGTTGACCAAAAATAAGGTATGAAAGACCTCTAGCATGCATGAGATGAAAATGTGGAAACAATGGGCCGCGCGGGTCTCCAGGGGCTCAACATGTGAGTGTTGAAAACGCAGTGCCTGACGGACATTGAAATATATGTTATGTTGAGATCAATGAAAAAAACATGCAAATACAGGCGTCTTGTGAAACAACGAAGATAATTAGTAATCAATTGAGAACATGTCCCTGCTGGCGGTGCGGGGCAAAAAATTAGCCATTCAAAAACACGTCCCTGCTGGCGGTGCGGGGCAGCAACACAACTAGGACGGGCAAATTCAGGGCCATGGTTTAAACCCAACAAGTGGAGTGATTGGACATCGATTCCAAATATAATTGAAAAACCAGCATGCGCATGCATGCGCTGCATGCACTCCTCCACACACACACACGGGGAAGAGTTATTGTGTGAGGAGCCATTAGAATGGTGTCAAACCCGTCAGCCTCCTAAGTCCACGATCTACAGAATACGATGCATGTGGGCGACACCGTCCGGAGCGGCGGAAGACATCTCGAAGTTCTAGGTGAGCAAACTGACCTGATCTGCCTGAAACAGCCTAATGAAAGAAACATTGGAGTCAGTGAGTTCTCAAAATGCAATCATATGCATGCTCTGGCGGGCACAACGCTGTGCGTCCACAGACTCTTCCACCCATTTCTCTAGCTTCGTTGGCAAGCGTCAACGAATGGGCCGCCCCTGCTGTCTGAATTCAAACACTGCAACAATATGGAGTCGTCAATCTAGCCAAATCTCATAGACAAAAACAAAGACTCTTGTCGGTCAGAGTTAGTTAATGAATGAGAACTTTCTGCTTGTCGTAGCATTGTTAACTCTGATCCACGTCAAAAGGAAAGAGGGAACGGAACGGCGATGGAGTCAGCTCACTTGAAATGTTGACAACACTGTTTGTGCGTGACTGCAGCACGCGGCGGTGTCGATCTTCAAGCGCGGCTCAGCTGCAAAAAAAGTTTGGGGGGAGTATCATGAAAGACCACCATGGCAGCAAAAACAGAGAAGTGGACAGCGTGATGAACAGTTGTTGGAGCAGGTACACAGAGCTGATCAGGCTCTGCTTCCAGCACAAGTGGATAGCTTCGTTGGGTGCAGTCTCCACTGTGCTCTGCACCCCCCTGCACTCTTCCATGATAAACGACAAACTCCTAGAAACGGACGGGGACACACACACACACACACTTGAGATATTGTGTACGGAACTGAATGCGGTGCCACACGCCGGCCTAGGGTTCCATTTCCTAAGAGTACCAGTAAGGACCATCGGAGCCTAGAGGTCTTAAAAGGAAAAGAGGCCAAAGTCTCAAGGCGACGACGAAACGACAGAGTGACGACGGAGTGAGGTTCTTGGCTTAGCCTCATGCCATGCAGAAAGGAAGGAAAATTCGCAGGTACGTCCAGCTGGCCAAGCTGGATATCCCATTTCACTGGTAGCTTCGTTGGACACAGTCCCAGTGAAATGCTGTGTCCCCCTGCAGTAAAACAAATGCAAAAGCATCCCTATGACTCCAAGGGTGACACACACACGCCTCCCAGGAGGGAGGCAAGATTTTAAGCTCCATGCCGAAGGTAAGGTGAGACTAAGAGAACTGACGGATCAACTGAAAAACTAAGGCTCCAACAGGTTCCAATGAACCTAAAACTGGCTTTGACCGCTCTGGTCACCTTGTGCCTTGCCGAAATGGCTGGCTGCTTTGACCGCTGCGGTCACGTAAAGGCATGAGCCAACTTGGAATTCCAAAGATGGGACAAAAATCATCGGACGTACGGCCTAGGCCACCTGCTGTCCCCGTTCAACGGGTCCACGGGAGGCACTCTGCGGGCTCATCCCGGGTTGGCACGAAGCCAAACACACTTGAGATATTGTGTACGGAACTGAATGCGGTGCCACACGCCGGCCTAGGGTTCCATTTCCTAAGAGTACCAGTAAGGACCATCGGAGCCTGGAGGTCTTAAAAGGAAAAGAGGCCAAAGTCTCAAGGCGACGACGAAACGACAGAGTGACGACGGTCGTACTTGTCTGCCGAGTGAGGTTCTTGGCTTAGCCTCATGCCATGCAGAAAGGAAGGAAA